TCACAATAATATAGACAGTGGTTTCTGCCTGGAATGAAAGATCAGACTTTGTCCCGTTTCTTTCCTGCATCCCCCAAGGGTGCTGGGCCAGAGGGTCCTGGGCTCCCTCAGCCCCAGCTCTCTGCAGTGAGCATGCTCCTGAGGAGGGTGGGCTGGGCAGTTCCACTATCTGCTCCCTGTCCCAATGAGACAAGTTACAGAAACTGAGAGTAAACATTTATAAACCTTTATAGCAATTTGATGAAGTAATTTAAATTATTTTTTTAAAGCTAGGGCTTGTATCTTATACATCTTTTTATTTTTATAGCATTTCTTTTTTATTGTTTTTTATAAAATCATTGGTCCACTACAGAATTGGAAACTTTTTTTAAAAAGCCCCTCACCATAGATAGTTTGAGAAGCACTGTTCTGGGCTAGCCTTGCTACTCAAAGTGCAGCCAGGGGACCAGCAGCATCAGCATCACCCATAAGCTAGTTAGAAATGCAGAATCTCAGGCCCCTCCTGGACCCAATGATCCAGGGTTTGCATCTTAACCAGACACCTTAGTGACTCTTCTGCATCTCATGGTGTGAGATGCCCTGGCCTGGAGAAGCCCTCTGGGACTCTGCTCCTTATGCTGCTCTTGGGTGGGTAAAAATAACTTCTTGGGGATTAATTTTCCCAGAACATCAAGTAACTTGAATAGCTAGCTATTTTACCTTGCTTTAAGATCCCTTCCCAAGCCTGCCAAATGGAACTAACTTTTGTTGTGCTGGTTAAGCTGAGGAATGGTCCTCTCAGACAGAACTGGTTAGGATAAGCCCTCCAAAACTCAGGGGGAAAGGAGAGAATTCTGGCCATAGTTAATCCTCAAATGTACATCATAATATTCTGCTATAAAGTCCTCATAGCAGCCCTACGTAATAAAGACCGTGACAAGAAGGGTGCGGCGAGCTTGGAGTCTACACAGCTGGGGGAGGGGGTGTGGTCCTGGCTCCTGGTAGCTGCTGAGGCTGAACACACACCTGCTGTGGTTGTCGACCCTCCTGCAGCAGGCCCCACCATATCCCACCCACATCTTCTCCCAGGGAGTGTGAGGAGCCAAAGAGAATGTGTGTCTCCCCTATTGACAGTCAAGACCTAACCCCAGCCCAGCCACCCAGGACCCAAAGACCAAGAGTAGGCAACAAGGAGAACCCTGGGCAGCCAAGATGGGAGAAGGAATGAAAGTCTGGACGATCAGGGAGGGGAGGGAAGGGAATCATGCTTCTGTTCCAAACCCCCTCCCCTGCAGGCACCCACTAGCCTGATCAGAGGTTGAAACCTGAAACATCCACCAATACCTGGCCAGTAAGGAAAAGGAATGACACAGGCCGAGTGTACAGAACAGGGAGTGGTGGGGACCAGCAAACTGTAGGACACGTGTCCCATGTAAAGAGTTGCTCAGCACCAGCAGTTAGTCTCAGACCTAATAGCAGCAGATTCCGATTCAAATGAAACTGGAAACACAGACGCTTATGCCTAGTTTTTAAAACACTGTGCAGTCCAAACCAAACAGATCTATGAGTCAAATGCAGCCCAAAGAAGCAGTTGGCAACCCCCATGTAGAGAACTCTTGCCCAATGCCTCATGGCCTCAGGCTGCACAGAAAACCACTCAAAAGTGCAAGGGAACCAATGCTTCCCGTTGCCAAGGCCCCCATACCTTCTAGTCTCAAGGAGCCCACAGTGGCAAGCTGGGT